ACTGAACAACGTCTTTTTCTTCCAATATTACGCCATCCTCGAAAAAAAAATGAACATCAAAATCCAATTCATTGTGGAACAATGCAATACAATTCCATTGAGACATAAGTATATTTCAATTTCTCTTTATAGGAAAACTCAATCTCAAATACGATGTTTTTCATTTTGTATAATAGGAAAAATATTGAATTTATTATTTTGATTAAATTGGAATAATTATGAATAATGTAAGATTATTTTCAATAGTTCATTAAATCATTCACTGTTAGAATTTCCGAATGTGTTTAACTATATTATGCTATTTTTTAAAAATATAATTACGTAATTCTATGACTCAACTTGAAGAGAAAGATTGCTTGATTTATCATCTTATTAACTAACCCGATATAAATAAATTTAAATCGATACTACAACGTAGTAATAATTTTATTCGACCCATACGCCATGGATTGAAAAGTTTGTATATTTCCTTTATTTATATTAAAAAAAATTTGTGGCTTTGGGAAATAATACATATATTTTATAAAAATATAGATAAGGAAAAAAAAATTTTGAAATGCCATCTGAAAAGTAGGAAAAAGCTGTCAGTTTACTAAACGAATGTTTAGCTATTTATGGCTAGGTTTGATGCAAATTTTCAATGCCTATAGAAGTATCTATAATTTAAATCAACAATGATTTAATTCGGATTATTAAATTTATTTACATCATATTCAATTGAAGCTTACTTTTTTACGACCTATGTATTTACGTATATAGTTCCTTTTAATTTTAATAAATTATTGAAGAGAAGAGGGAGGAGCTCCAAAACTTGAACATTTGAAGTTACCCATTTAAGAATGTTTCTTCTCCAAGATAACTTATAGTGGAGTGGCTATCGTCGCTTTCTTAAACAAATAGTAGCATTGTTTACTTTTTTGCATAGTTGATTCATGGAATCAATGGACAAGTGTCATTAAGAGAACTTAATCGAGAATTAATTGAAATCACAATTTAATTATAAGACTATCTAGGAGGGATAATACCGAATCAAGTTTAAATGACCATGATGGTTAATGCCATCAGAAATTTGTAGTCACAGAATTCGCTTCTCAGACAAGTTTGTAAATATTAATCAGAAGTTGGGTGGTGCTTAAGCTGCCACCATGGATAGAACCCCGATCATTACAATGACAAGTCAATGCCTTAACCACTGTGCTCTTAATAATTCTTTATGATTCAGCAATTTTTGGTATTATTCATCTTTTCTAAATTCCATTCTGCTATTTCTTATATTTCTACACTGGTAGATTATAATTATTACTTTCATTTAGAAATTACTTCCAGAAACAAATTTATGCAATTAAATTTATTCAGAAGTACAACGATGTCATTTTAATAAATAGTCATTTATTAATTTTAATTTGTTTGTAATTATCAGTATTCAAAAAATGTCTCGCCCTTAAAAAATTTCTCTCTCTCTCTCTCTCTCTCTCTCTCTCTTTTTCTCACACACACACACACACACACACACACACACACATCTCCCCAGTAT